GCCCCTGACTGTCCATCAGGGCCACCACTGTCCCACTTTGATGTACTCATTACCCAACACGTGGATGCTTCCAGTAAGGCAAGTCTCATACCAGCCAGGTAGGTTAGAGGAAAACTGTGCCTCCAGAAGCCGTGAAAGATGATTGCTTTTCTCTAGGAAGGTTGGAGCCTCTAGCTTTGAAATGCTCTGTCCCTAACAAGAGTGTGACTTTAACATATATACTGTACGTGACTGGCAGCAAGAACAACCCATTTCCTGAGTCTTGAATACCTCATGACTGAACTATTGCGTACCAAAAGATCGCAGAAATAACTGACTTTACATTACATACCATCTAGGAAGATCTGATGGAACAGCAGATGCCTTGCCTAATGTGCCCCTCCGTGCAGAAGCGTTGGTGAGAATGCACAATGCAGGAGCAAAGACCCTGATATTAAACTTCTGCAGCTGATGACTTCTACCAAGGTAAGAGCTTCTGTCAGCTTGGAAGGCAGATACACGCATTATCAGCAGTTTTCTGTGAAAGTCGGCAGTGGGGCTGGTACCACCTGTACTGTTTTCAGCTTGGGTTTGATGGGGAGAGGAGAAAGAAGGACCTTAGACCAGCAGGGTTCAGACCTTAAAATTTCAGACTGGCACAAATCCTCTTCCACTTCTTCAAAGAAACACAAGCAACTTATCGTTCCCCTCAAGCCTCTTGTGTCTGGAGGTGGCCATGTCTTGTTCTCTAAGGAGAGAAAAGAAACAGCCAAACAAATAAGTCAGGCTGTGTTGGCCAAAGTGTTCGACTACTATTGTTTGTGAAGGAGGACAGGAACTGAAAAGGAATTACAAGCCAAAAATGAGTCATGTTATACCGCCTTGTCTTTCTTCCAGAAGAGAAAGAAGAACAAATTTTCCCTTCAGATTCTCTAATTCCCTGGGGAAAAGGGAAACCATGTTTTACTTTTAGCAGCTTTTGTTCTTGCGTGTGTTCCTGGACCTCAGGGCACAGATAGAGTGGAGCTTCTGGGGAGGCTGGTACATCTGACAAGCCAGACTGGACCATTGCTGTGAGCCTGGGGAATTTTCTTTCATTTCTATTGTTGTGTTTGTGAATTCTGCCCCCACCCCACCCCACCTCCCCCCACACACACACTCCCACCCCCACAAAAAAAAAAGAGATTCAAGGACACCGGAGGCAGTTTTCCAAAGATGGAAACCTGCTTTTTGCCAAGAGGGTTTCCTGAGCAGTCTAAGTGGTTGAGGATCTTGCCTCAAACAAAGTTTGGATCGCTGGGGTATCTCCTCATGCACAAATTGTGATGAGGGATTGTCATTCCTTTATGCATGCTTCTTCCTAAACCTGCTAACTAGTGAGGACTGTTGTCCCTCCACACCAGCTCAGGCTCTGATAGCTTTTGTAAGAGCATTTGTATCAAAATATTGTTGTGCTGGAGTCTCCAAGGCCATCTGGGGTTTTGTGCAGACAGGGTGCTTACAAATGAATGTGAACCAAAGCAAATCAACATTGCTTGGCAGGGATGAAATGCATTGCTAGGGTCTGCCTCTGCCAAGCTAGACTGTTTGGCTCCAGTCCCGCTCTTCGGGGGGATTGTCTGTCAAAACACAATTTGGTATTGTACGGCGTCATGGTTACATGGCTCACTACTCCTTTAACCCCTCTCAGGCCTTACACTCTTGTTATTTGTTGAGTGGAAACCTGTGAATCTCCAACTCTTAAAGCAGACCTCGGGCTCTGGTACCTTGTACCAATTGTCCCTCGTGATGCTGTGTTGGTTCGGGTAGAGCTTTCCCTTAGGAGCCGTCAACTGGTACACTGCAACCTTCTTGAAGGTAAGACATTTCTTAATGCCATGAAATAATACAAAGACATATCTGTACCATCTCATGATGGAATTCTGGCTTCTTGGCCTAACCACCTCAAAACCTGGTCATCCTTTCAAGGTGGGAATCCAGATTGGACACTTGATTGACTCTCCTTGATTATCCCATCCCTTCACGAGCAGCAGCTCCTGCTTCTGCCAAGCCCTGCTGGCAAGCCCAGAGGACACCCATTAGAGGACAAGCCAAGACATCAACGTGAATGACCTCATGGGTTTGCCAAGAGGTATGTAATCGTATCACCCTTGCCACTTCTGACACGTTTCTGAGTTCATTCAACCTAAATATTAATTTGACCAGAGAAGGCTCTGGGGAAACCTTATAGCCACCTTCCAGTACCTGAAGGGGGCCTACAGGAAAGATGGGGACAGGCTTTTTAGCAAGGTCTGTTGCGGTAGGACGAGGAGTAATGGCTTTAAACTAAAAGAGGGAAGATTCAGAGTAGATATAAGAAAGAAATTTTTTAAGCTGAGGGTGGTGAGACTCTGGCCCAGGTTGCCCAGAGCGGTGGTGGATGCCCCATCCCTGGAAATGTTCCAGGTCAGGTTGGACGGGGCTCTGAGCAACCTGACCCCTTTGAAGATGTCCCTGCTCATTGCAGGTGGGGTTGGACTAGATGGCCTTTAAAGGTCCCTTCCGACCCAAACTATTTTATGACTCTATGATTCTATAAATATGGACATAGTAAATTACCAAAGTGGCTTGGCCAAAAGACAACATTACAGGTGGCTCCGAGCCCATTACATACCGGTTTTGTAATAGTGAAAATCCTCAGCAAGCGCTGGTCAAAGTGCTGTCTCTGAGCATAGCTTCTGCTGGGCCACCTCCCTCCTTGGAGCAGGAGGAGGACGTGCGCATTCCCTTCGGCGGGCAGATCCTCAGCTGGGACAGCCCGGCACGCAGCTGCAGGCTCGTCCCCGGCGGGCAGAGCAGCGGCAGCCTTGCACAGGCTGGGACGCCGGCGAAACGCAGCCCGGCTGCCTGGGTCACGCAACCTTGCAGCTTTCCTCTCATACTGTGGAATTTGGGTGTTTTCCTTCAAAATTCAGGCTAGAGCACGCTGGTACTGCCTGGCTCTCCCAGGCAATGTCTGCTCCAGGGGCTGGGATGGGCCTCCAGGACCTGTTATCGTCTCAGCAGGTTGGGGACTGTAGTCCATCTGTCCTTCTCCTGGGCACAGGGCTGTACAGATGGCTCCGGGGCTCAGCTGGCTCTGACCCGAGGTGCAGCACAGCTGTGTGACCCTGGGTTGGTTTTGCTGAGAAAACTGCTGCTGCTGCTGCTGCACTGTGAGAAAACACATGAACGAAAGCCAGGCAAGATAAGGAAAGTCAAAACACAGACAGAATTAAAGTTGTCAAGATGATAATAGCTAGCAATGCAAGGCTCCAAAAGTAAATGCTATGTGAAAAAAGAAAAAACCCTGAAGGGCCGGTTCAGTCACTCTCTTGCTCTGAAGATCCCTGGGCTGGAGCCAAGAAATGCCCCGAGTCCTTGGCTCAGATGTAACTCTGGCGTGAGGGTATGTCCCCAGTGCTGGGCTCTGAGATGGGGGATGGAAAAAGGGGCATATGAAAAAAAAGAGGAAGGAAAAGAGTGGCTGGGCAAGTCGTAGAGAGGGAGATGTCCACAAGGAGTGCATTTAGCTCGCTGGCAGGGAGGAAGCACGGAGGAATTTGAGTGGGAAGGTGAACATGAGCATCTCCAGCTGAAGAGCCTGAGCAGCCCTGCTCGACGACAGGCTCACCCTCCGTCTTCGTCCACCTGCCTTGAACGACTCCCTCCTATGGAAAACCCCAGCAGCACCCCTTCCCCTGGCAGGGCATCTTCTCTCTTGAGCTGGAAGCCCCGTGGGAGACGGGCAGGGACAGCACCTCTCCGGTCCTGTTCCGGGAGCAGTGGGAGACCTGCAGCCAGCACAAAGCCATGCAGAAGGCAGGCCAGGACGCGAGGGGGTTTTGCCCAGGTGAAAATAAGCTTTTGGGGCAAAGGAGGCTGAAGGCCATCTTGCCAAGCCTGCGTCAGCCCGGTGTTTGGCAAGAGGCGACCAGACACGCTGGACGTGCCGTTGGGAGCTTTGAAGGAGCAAACAGAGGTTCCGACATCCAGCTGTTGCAACCTTCCCCAGGTGTAAACATCTTCGAGGGGCCGTTCCCACGAGGGGTGAGACAGGGGCTGGAAACACACCCACCCCCAACCCCCCGGGGCTGTATTCTCCTCCTCGCACTGAGAAATGCAAAAGTCACCCTTCCCTCATCCCAGCTTTGTCCAGCAGGTAGCTTCTCCTCACCTGCAGCGTTTCAGAGTTAATACATCGCTATGAACTTGTTTTATTTGGGAAAAACAAACACAATTCAATAAAAGTGAGTTAATATGTAATTACGGCGTACCACAGGTGCTGGCATTGCATTAGAGGTATAGGTAGGCTCCTGCGGCTGGCCGGAGAACCTGGTGGTGAGTCACGGCTAAAATGTGAACAAATTTTCGTTTTTAATATGAAATTTGGCACCACCCAGCTCTTCATCTCTTAATCTCTTAGTAATACCAACAGCCAGAAAATAAATGTATAATTTGTTCTGTCTAATGCTGAAAACTAGATTTTTCTACTAGTGCAAGAGGGGGTTGATTAGCCCCGTGGCAGCACAGAGTAAGTGGAGAGGACAGGGTCCTTTGCAGGGACTCGGGTCCATGCAGAGGTGAGCTTGCTCAGCTGGCGCTTTGGGGTACGGCCGTACCATTGAGACGCCGGACCTCAGCTCCCATACCCCACCTCCCAAACCGGGGAGATGCTTTGCCTTACTCTCACTCTGAGTTTCTACCACAAGCCACTGCCGGAAAGACGAGAAGAAAGCTCCCGTTCGCGCGGCTGGAGATGTAACGCTCTCTTTTAAAGAAAGCAGCAGCCCCGACGCCACGGAGCTGGCGAGCAGGCAGGATGTAAGTTAATCATCTGCTTGCAATTAACCTGTGACCTCCCACGCCCACAACACACGCGGGGCAGTGCTGTAGCTTTAACGCCGGCGGTGGAAGCAGGAGGGAGGACAGCAGTGCCAGAAGCTGCTGCAGATCCCTCACTGCTGCCCCGTCCCCCAGCCCCGGCAGCGCCGTGCCCGGCCATGGGGAGCCACAGCCTGCTGGCCGCCATCCTGGCCACCATCCTCGCCTCCCTCTTGCCGCTCCCCGTCGCCCCCTCGTCCCACCGCAAGCTCCTGGTGTTCCTGCTCGACGGCTTTCGCTTCGACTACATCGATGACAGGGAGCTGGAGGGTCTGCCAGGCTTTCGGGACATTGTGAACATGGGGGTGAAGGTGGATTACATGACCCCAGACTTCCCCAGCCTCTCCTACCCGAATTACTACACGCTGATGACGGGTGAGTACCTGCCTTTGCTGCGATGCTCCGCGGAGCTGCCAGCTCCCCGTGACTTTTTCCTGCAAAGACGACACAAAAATAACCCAGGTCTGGCTTTTAGCTGGGAATTTAAAAGCACTGCGGCGTTACAGCTCGGTGTTGCTTGACTGAAATCTGCTCTGAAGTTGGAAATGCCTCTTGGAGCTGATTTTTGAAGTTCTCCTTTGCTCTCGCGCTGTGCTGCTGGGTCCCTACCTGCAGCCACCACAGCAGCACGGCCGTCCAGGGCTCCCCGATGGGAGCACTGATGGGGGCTGCTGCATACAGAACATAAAAAAGAGTGGGAAATGCACGGAAAAATGAATACAGAGCCTGCTCACAGACTTTCCAGATAATAAAAAGGCGTGTAAACTGAGGGTGGCTAAGAGAAGAACTTATTTTCAGCCAGTTTGTGTTTTCAAGTTTAGAGTTAAATTTCTTTTTAAACTCAACAGACTTTCTGCTTTCACAGGTCCCTGCCTTAATGTTTCCCTAGGTCCTTATTTTTGTAAGATAATCTGAAATAGCCAAATAGAAAGACATTAAGGATTTTTGCTTTTGGTCCCCTACACTTTCCCTTTTTCTGACTGCACAGGAGAGGCTCTCAGTAAATTGGGAGGACAGTCATAATTTTCAGTATGTTGATTTCCCTGTAATCTAAGCAGAGCAACACATGATTACAGGGATACTAGGAAGGTACACAGAATATAACTGAGCCCTTCACAGCAGAGAAAAACACCCTGGAAACAACATTTAAGTAAAAAAAAACAAAAAAAAACCCAAAAAACAAAACACAAACCCAAACGAAAACCCCCAAACAAACAGAAAAGTTTTTCTGGAGTTTCTAATTGGGTTTTTCTCCAGAGTTATTTAACAAACAAGACATTCCAGCTAAGGAGGAGTGAGAAAATCTGTCCTCTCCGGAGATATGTGGTATCTTCTGCTGTCCTCAGAACAATACAGTGCCCAGCGGTCCATATACCGCTTGCTGGGAAAGCAAATAGATGCCATTGTAAGACAGAAATCTGACATCAGTTGTGCTCAGCTTGTTTTGAAACTGCTTAACCCCTTCCTCCCTCTCTTGGGAGAGGAATGCCTTTCTCTCGCTCATCTCTGAACAGAAAAGAGTACAAAACCATCACAGGTTTTTTTTTCATGACTTGATGGAAATGCATGAATGCAGAGCAAATGTCACGACTGAAAATAGAGATGTCACTCCACTGTGGACCTTGTTCTTTACGTGAACGTAGGCACACTGGCTTAACACTTCACGTGCAAAAAGCCTCTTTGTTAAAGTGAAGCAGGAAAGTGACTGCTTTCTCTCCTTACCACATTTAATCATCACTTCTATTAAGTGTGTATGCATAGAGCAAAGTCTATAATCAGCCTTTCGAGGAATTTTGAAAACATCTTATTTTGTACTTACAAAGAAGGAGTTTTGTTTTTGCCGATGAAACACCGCTACGAGACTTTTCACGCTTTTAGGGTACCAGGGTTTCTACACCCTAGCTTGAAGCCACGAGACAATCTATGAGATCAAACTCAACTCTTCTTGCCAGTCTCCTGGCCTTCGTGATGAGGTTCTCAATGCAAATACAACTTAACCACAAATAACAATTCACCTTCCTAACACATGAGTCATAGCAGTGTTAAATAGGTCAGGAACCAACCGGGGACCAAGTTCAGGTGATGAACGTGCCCAGAGGAAGAACCAAGACTGCACTTGAGCCGCAGGGTGTTAGTGGACCCCATGGCTGTGTCCTGGCATGACAGCAAGGCAAATTCCATGGCTACACTGTTCTTACCCCGACGCCGTGGTGTGGTCTCTGCAGAAAGGAGAAGTCACATTTTAGTTGGTGGTGGGAGTGTGGGGCACGCGGCAGACGTAGCGTTGGCTGTGTTCAGTCTGTGCACGTTCAATTCGCAAAGCTGAGACAGCTTTTTGGAAAAAATAAAGCATGGCAGGGTGACATGAGCATTGTGCCGCAGTGACCTGCTTAAGGATGGGCAAGTTACTGTCTCCCCGTTGCTGCTGTACAGGCAGGAGAAAGCTTACATCGCATCTCCCCAGTCATGCATCTCCGGTGCTGGGAGGGGGGCTGTAACTGGCTTTTTTTCCATTTGCAACTGGGATGTGCGGGACTTAAATGTTACCACAGTTTCTTCTGGGAAATCAGGGACTGCAAGGACAAGCTGTTGTTCATATCTTGTCCTACACTGCTGCCTCATGAGGCATTAAGAAACTCATGTTTTAACCTCCAAATTGCCATATTTTAGTATTTGTGACTGTGGTTTCATAGTATATTGGCTTTTTTCAGCTTAAGAAATTTCTGGCCCCACCTGCACATTCCCACCTTTGCCCTGTTCATTATATCCCACCACTTTTTCAGGTAAACACTCCCATCCCTTCTTTCTCTGCTCATTCACAAGGTCGCTTGGCTCCCACAAGCATACATGGCTGGCAGGTCTAGGACAGCATGTGATGAAAATGCTGGGATGCATTTCTCTCTTGCCTCTATCCATTCATGTGAGCAAGGCCTCTCCTTTCTGCATACTGCCCTTCACCTCACATCCACGCAACCTTCATGACTCTGGAGAGGTTTAGTTGTTACAGAGGGAAGTTGTCCCTCATTTTGGTGGCTTTGGAGGAGGACAGTGGACTCCTCTCCTCAAACATCATCACAGTTGGGACAGGTCAGTCCCCTCAAATGCAATCTCACCTCCTCCTCCTGCACAGACCTGCAGGAGGAGGTTATGGAGGTCAGCAGCATCTGCCCCACAGTGTCTCAGTGCAGACGCCCAACTGCACCCGTCAGCCGTGCCAGAAGGTAGCGTTTCTCTGGAACAGGCAACTAGCAAGCAATAGCACGCAACACATCTGTCTGATTACCTGCAGGATCTTCTAGTCATTATACTTTACTTTACTGAAGATTTCAAGAGGGCAGACTAACTGAATTTGGCATTCATGAGAAACAGCAATTTTACTGAGATTTTCAAAGCTATAACCAAATAGATGCAACCATAACTGATGACCGAAAGCCATGTAGCTAAAGACAACTAACTAATATATGCTCATGTGAAGCATGCCCCATTTTGCTGAGACTGGGTGCGAGGGGAAGCACAGACACAGTGGGAGGAATAGGTAAACAGAACAGATAAATTTTGGAAGGGGAGCGGGTGGAGGGATGTGACTCGCCCGTGGTCAGGCAGAGCTGCAGGGCAGTGGCAGACCTCTCCATGGGTTGCCCTCCTACTTAAATCTGATGCTGCTGTTAACCTGTGAGAAGATATTTGCTGAAGCTTCCCAGAGTGACACAGAAAGCCTCAGCCCAAAGCCCGGGGCCTGCCTAGAGGTCTTTTGTCTTCCTCCATGTCTACAGCAATTATGAGAAAGAAAACCAGAGCATAGAAACAAGAGGAATGCTAATGCTTTCGCACTAATGGTTTGGCTTCTTCATGTAAAGTCAGCCAGTGATTCAGAGCTTGGGGAGAAGCTCCAGTCTCCCTTCGAGCCAGGACACGGCGTCATGACCTGCTACTTGCTTGAAAAAGCACCAAACAACAGCCAAGTCACTGCTGGAGCAAAGGGATCTCACTGACATGCAACAAGAGAAGTCATTTTGTTACAAAAATCTGGTGGTATGCAAGATAGCCCAAGGATGTCCCAGCTTAACATCCCACTCCACGAAAAGCAATTCTCTCTAACAACTTAATTCATGCCCTGTTTCTCAGTTTTGGCTTCCACAGTGGTGTAAAGACTGGTTCTTGGATGGTTGGGTTGTTTTCTGAGCTGCTAGACCAAATTCTGCCTGGTGTCCTAGCTCCCCATGCTCCAGTTACGATATTGCAGTCGTTGACCTGAAAGGTGCAGCATAAAATGGTGAATTAGGTCAAAGGAGCTGCTGCTGCTGACACGTGTGTTTGAGAGAGCTTTGGGAGGCTCAACGTGGGCTTGGCAAGGGAGGGAAGAAGGAGTCCGAATACGCGTATCCCAAAAGGCTCACTTAATCACACTACGTGCTGTTTGTTTTGCAGAGAAAGGAATTAAGACCACAAGCCACCTCGGGATTTTATCCTGTGGGGAGCTTTTAGTATTTCCCTTTCCCTGCCTCAGCCTGGCTCTGCAGGGAGCTCCCGTGCCAAGCTAAACGGAAAGTCTGAGGTCTCCCCATAACTGCTGCAAGCACGAGTTATTGCTTCAGAGCCCTTCGTGCCATAGCTCTCGAGAAAAGCTGCTCATGCTGAGGAGTTTGGGTCTCCCTCGCCTGCCAACGCGTAGGCGTTGGGGGGGTGCTGGTGGACCCACCCCTCTATCCCAGCTCCTCTGAACCCCCGCAGCTCAGGGCGTGTGGGGGTCCCTCACATTTCCAGCCCCAGCCAGCACAAACAGGGGTGGACGGTATCATATCTGAGCTGGAAACTCCAGGAGGATTTATTTTCCAAGATCCTGACAACAAATGAGATCTTTTCTGGCAGGTCCTCTGTGAGGACGCAGCCGCCACCAGTCAGCTGTGCGGCCCCGCGTCCAAGAACTGTATTTCTCTTGGCCTCCATTGGAAGCGGATGGAGTCCTTGCTCACAGAAGTGGGTAGGTGGGTGGGTGGAGAGCTGCTTGGAGAGGAGCTGGCGAGGGCCCTCTGTGTCCTTCTTTGGAGAGAACCTGATCTTAAATACTTGGCAGAGAAGCTACGAGATCCCGTGAAGCTTGTGGGATGGAGGAGAAGGTTGAACAGATTGTGTTTCGGGTCTCCTTGAACCCCAAGGTGAGGCCCATAGCCTTTGCAGGGTTGTCCCACTCTTGCCATAACTCAGTGATGGCATATTTGGGGATTCTCTAAAATACAGAGGTGGTGTGTGGTGTTTTCCCAGCCACTGTGGATCAGCCCTGTGTATGCCATCACCTTTTCCTCTGCACAGCAGGAGAGAGAGGGGCAACAGGAGCACTGGCACAGGCTGCCCAGATGGGTTGTGGAGTCTCCCAC